ACACATCAAGAGACTGACACAGCAGCAACAAGGAAGGTGGTTCAGACTTTCAGCTGTGTTCACCCCTTGGCTCTGCCCCTGTGTACAGTATGAAAACCATTAGCAGAACCTTCAAATTTGCTTAAGTTGAGTAATCCGCTGATTCACTATTTAAATCTTTCTTAATGCCCAAAGCTTTACAAATAAATTTGTACTTAAACTACACTGCTGCATAAATGCATCACTGACATTAATCCAGACCTGCTTGGCTCGAGCTCGAGTTTTAGGAGCGTTCAAGATTATAGTCTGTGCCGTACAAAGATTTAAATAAGACACAAACGATCACCTAGAAGAAAAGGGAGCACGTTTAAAGATTTGAAGCCATGTTTAATACTGCAATCTAATGTTCTAATGCTACGGTCTACCTACAAAATAATATGAGATGATCAAAATCAGCATAACATTTACAAAGAGTCAAAAGATGTCCTCTGTTGATTAAAAAAAAAAAAGAAAAAAAAAGTGGGGCAACGGGTGTTACATAAGGGTCACCACACAGTGGAAGGCCAACTTTAACCGGGATTATTTGCTAATGGAGTGAAGCAGTGAGTGGATTAGCGTGAACACATGATTATCTGACGTGTCACATGACCAAAAAACTATTAACTGGAGTTACCAGACATCGTTAATATTGAGGATTCAAACACAAAATGCACAATAAGGCTCACTTAAAGTAGTCTGCTACATCCCGGCTGGATGCAATCAACGTGGAACAGGAGCTGTTGTCAGGTTAGCACACCAAACATCTGCCCAGATCTCAGAATACATGGCAGCCCACATTTGTCGGATTATTTTTTTTTTTGGACATCTTGTGGCGTTGTGGCAAATCATTCTGATCATTGCAATCTGGCCACCTCAACTTTGTCAGCGTGTCAAAGTTTAAGTGGTTTTATCTGTATTTCGTCTGCTTGACTTCATTCTCCAAAAAGAAGGGAAGGCAGAGAGGGAGATGATGATGACATAGGTGTCTGTGGGAGAACTGAGACAGAAATGAGCAATTACCCAGCCATACTGACACTTATAGGGCTGCCTTCCTGTGGTTAGATTTTTCAGTATCCACTGTGCTGCCACTGGAGAGCTCAATGGGACAAATTCTGTTTTTGCATCCACCACAATCTGTGGGGGGAAAAAAGCACTCTGACGCAGCAGCTCTAAACTGCTTTAAACTAAGTGACATCACAGCGGGCTTCATATTGTTTAAGAGTTTAAATAGATTCTGAGTAGGGCAGCCTATTAATCAAGAATAATCTTGAAAGGAATGGGTGCGAGGAAAATAAGATGACGAAGACGACAAAGAAGAAACAGCTGATGAAGACGCAGCAATCTCTTAGCGAGGCTAAGCTTCTACCACATTCATGGCACGCTGTTAAAACCCCTCTTCCCAGTCCCCAGAGGCGACTCTACGTCTGATGTAGTCGCCTCTTTGGTGACATAAACACTAATCCCTTATTATGGGATGTAGGCTGCTGCACCCCGAAGCCCCATTTTTTT